TTGGAACCAAAATCCCCTGTTCCTCTTTCCTCCACAGTTGTCTTTCTTTTTGGTCTGATGTACAGATATCTATGAAAAAGTTATATTTAACTGGCAAAAGTGTTATTCTGCACTAAGGCCTCTTTCACACATGTTAAAATCAGGCATTAGAGAAGTGTTTTTAAAGCCTCTCTGCCGCCTATTATCCTCATGTGGGATAATACAATGGCAACCGCCCAGTGAAGCTCACACACGGGTGTTAGCGTTGTGTTAAACAATAGAGTGCATGTCACATCCTGGAGGGATTGCCGCTGGACAAATGCATCCATTGAAGTATATTGAAACGGTCAGTGCTCCTATAGCATTTTTCGGGCATTTAAGAAGCATTGCAGAGGTGTTTTAGGAGAGGTGCGGCGGGTTTTGCAATCCCAGAAACCAGAGGGGAATCATAGAGTGATTGGACAGAGCAGGTGCAGATGTAACTTCCTGTCTGCACACAGCCAGCATTTTGCCAGCATAAGGACAGCTTCTATGCAGGTACTTGCAACCTGTGACAGCTTGATCTGCACCCAGTACTGACTCAACACCCTTCTCCTCTTTCGCTGAGACATTTGGTTCATCATCATCTTCATCATCTTCAGCTGGACAAAGCAGAGGATTATATAGATCACTGTATACAAATCCATGTTGTTGTCAAAAGACAGTTGGATCTATGGTAATGCAGCAATACGCAGCACAGAAAACCAACAATATGCCTGCAAATTTCACCACAACTTAAGCACACCTCAAAGCTGGTCACTTCCCTTTATTACATCACTTCCCCCTTAACACTCCCCTACTGGCGTGGCATTTTGCAAGCGTTTTTAATGCCTTGATATTGCCTGCCGATTGCCTTGTTAACACTATATGCACATTAATCAGGGTTGCTCTTTCATTAAATTCTCAGCGCATGTGTGAAAGAACGCTAAAACCTCTTGACTTATCTCTTCATTATCTTGTTTGATATTTCAATAACCCAGTATAAAGGAAAAGTAATGGTGGAAAAAAGAAAACACAATTCTGGGTTTAGTCAATCACTTTTTGGTATATTCATTCTTAATAATCTGTATAACTTGGGTCGTGGCAGGGCTGTGTCCATTGCCTAACTACAATGTGCTGGAAGGTGGCTCTCTTCCTCATCTCAGAAAGTTGGGAAGTATGGATGTCAACAAATGTCATTGTTGTCATTTCCATGAGGACATGAGGTCTGGTTGCGCCCGGGGCAAGTGACCCCCCCGCACCCCCGGTTGTTACGCCACTGCTGGTAAGTGATCAAATCTATCTGGAGAGAATAAAACATACACCTAATACAGCCTAAACAGGGAAAAACAGAGCAGTTGTGTCAATGTGAATACATATATACACAACTGGAAAGGCTTTTTCTTAGATTACAACTAATGATCAGCATTTCTTCCAATACTCTTGTCAAATATTAGGCTAACAACAACATATTTCTATGTTTATTATGCAAACAAAGCATTTACATCAAAATACATGCAATGCATATGTATTAACTAAAACATAACCACATGCTACAGTGTAGCATTCTGCTTATCAATACCGATGGCAGACACATGTGCTTTTATAATATGAATAAACTCCTGTCCATTCTATTGTGTATACACATCATCACTTTATGAAAGGGAAAAGAAAAAATGAATGTAATATATTCATGATGAGAAGTTTTTCTTTGCATTGATTACATAATGACATATGGTGCAAAGATAATAAAGCCAATTTACAATTTTACATGTACGTGTACAATATTTATTCTACAGCCTTCAAATTCCCAGCTACGGTATATGAATTTGTTTTTCATAATTCTTTCCAATAACGTATCCTTCTGACCTGACCACTTTTTTGAAATGTTGTTGGTTTGGCAGTAATGGCTGCACGCATAGGATTGCCAAGAATAATAATAAGAGAAGGTAAAGATCACACTAATCTGTCACTTCAAGTTACACACACGCAGACTAGGGCTGAACTTCAGGCAGATAAAAAAACACCAACTCGTGCAGGTGTATGTTCACTAAAAAAGCAGCTAAGGACCTACATTTGACTCGGTATCAGCCTTTTCTAATACTCTGTACAGCAGAGCTCAGACTGGGAGAAAGAGGGGCAGGATTTAAACTAGTCAATTATACTGCAGTGCTTATGAGCTAACAATAAACATGCTGACAGGGGGAAAGATCAAAATGACAGAGATGAGCTCATCAGTCTGCTGTTTCACCTTCACTGTCAAATAGCAGGCTGGGGGCTAGGACAAGACTTAGCTATATGCAGGGCCGGATTTCTCACAAGGCCAACCAAGGCCCGGCCTCGGGGCAGCAAGGAGTAGAGGGGCAGCATGCTCCCGATGCCCAGGACATGCAGTTCCGGGCGCTGGGCGGGTAGTTATATTCTACATTTAGCCCTGCTTTGGGCTAAATGTACAGCGGGGAAGCCACCGCTTGTTATGTACAAGTGATCTCGGTGATGTCGCCAAGCCTGCAGGTCTGCCATTCTCCATTGGCGGAAGGGGTTGGGGTTGGCGGGTAGGGGGGTGCATTGAAGAACCTGGCCTTGGGGCAGCAGAGAGAGTGAATCCGGCCCTGGCTATATGACCTAATTCCAGTAGAGGAAGGACAGGTCTCCAGGCTATCTGTGCTCTCTGCGTTGTATAAATCTAAAGAATGAAAAGACGGAATCACAAATCCTTTGGCAGGTGAAATAATTCATGTGAGTATTTATTTTGTGTATTTAGCTGTTTGCCTGAAGTTCAGCTTAAAAGTGAATCTGTACTCTTGCTTTTATTCCCCCTCCCTGTCACCTGATTTGCATAGGCACAGCCCAGCTATTTTATATTAAAGCAGATCCAGGAGAAAAGGTAAAGTTTGAAAGCTGCTATTTATGCTTGTATAGTTCATATACAGTAACTAACACCAGAATTAGAGATTGTTTGTAGAAAACTATATAACTATATAACGAATTAAAACAATAAATATCTGAAGTGCTGGATATAAGGTATCCGACTGAAATTTGTGAGCAAATAAGAGCAATCCATGGTAACAAAGGACTGTTATTTTGCATTTGCATCATCTGCGAGTTACAGACAGTGATGTAGGCAAAACAGTCCAATGGCTGTCTGGAAGTCTATTTTTTTTATAAAGTGGGGAACCACTATTAATAGAGCTTATATTCACAAATGCCAAGTCTGCAAAAATAAGCAAGCAATAGCAGTATGTACTTTTATTCCTAGATCAATTTTAATTAAAGATAATGAATAAAAGTACACAAATATTCCATTAACACAAACTTCGTACAGCATTAATATTAAACACCCTATACATGTATATAGCAGTGTATCAGTCACATGATAACTGTACACTCACATCATTACCTGTTGCCTGGGTCTAGCAATGGCGTTATTGGTGACCTCCCATATGCAGCTTCATCTTGGTTGTTGTCACAGGGAAAATCAGTACTGATGGGGTCGGGGACAATGACCTTGGTCCATAGGCCACTGGTGTTCTGTGGTATTACTCTGCAGGCAGCACACACTTTAGTCATGAGCAATAGGGGGGTCAGTATGTAGAGGAGACATAATGAGGAGGAGCAGGAACAGAAGATGGAGCTGGAGGATGAGCGGTGCAAAGTATATGCAGACAGGTCCAAGTGGTATATTATAATAGCATGACTACCGAGTAGATCCGTGCAAGAAGATACACAGCCATGCTGTGCTGGCCAGAGGTCTGGCCTTTTACTGGCACTGGATGTTGGAATGAGCATTCCAGCACGCAGCACCATAACAAGGGATAGGTCGTTGGGACCTTGGTAATTTCTTTTAAATTCTTCACAGTCCCATGGAAACTAGAACGGTTGGGAGGCATGAGCTATGACTATGCAATGTTTCACTTTGTTAAATATTTTTAATTTTCCAATGTACCTAAGGGAAGAATGGTATTAGACAATCCGTGATGTTCTGCAGCAACCATTGATATTCTAATTTTCCTTCTCCCACTCAGAGCTTAACATGTATATCTAGAAGCCAAATTAGGAGAACATCTGCTTTATATTTGTGACATGTTCACACTGACTTACCATAACTTCCAAAAAGTATTAAAAAAATAGCTGCTTACGATTTTACTTGTTAAAAAAATCTTACTTAGCTTTCATCTTCTATGTAATGTTAAGGATGGGGGGGCGGGAGAGTTAAGTTTGCCATAATTAACCTTTACGCTGTTTAGAACCAGCGTGGGACACTGCAGCTGTCCCATGCTGGCTCTGCCACCAAGTGGAAATACACTTTAAAGAATACCATGGAGACCTTTACTGGTTGCTATAGATCACACAATGCATGATGCCTGTTTATACTTTGATACTTATAAATGTATGCATTAAACTGTACCTCTCGTACCCTCGCTCTGATAGGACTTCCCTTTGCAGAGAATGTGGCAGAGAGTGTCCAGGTCTGAGCCTAAATATAACGCTTTTGAAGTTGACGGACAGCTGTTCATATAGCACGTTCAGACATGTTACAGCATTTCCTGAGCATATGATGCATAGGAGGAATTTGTTAAGAAACAAACAGGTTAATGCAATTAGCTGAAAGGGGAAGAAAAAGAAAAGCACAAGACATATGTTAGCTGCATAGGAAACCAACATAGATGGATGGAACCCTTTTTCTAACACATGAAAGAGATTAGGAGACAGTAGCATATAACTGCGTAGAAGCCTATTAATAATAGATCATTAGTTTAAGCTCTTCACAGTGACATGTGTATAAACATGATTGGCATTTTCTGCTCTGCCTGTAATTTGCCACTCACAAAGAAAGCACAAAACATAGGAAGGCACAGACAAGTGAGATAAAAATTAAGGTCATGGCTCATATCACTTGACATGTGGTCTGACCCCTTTATGGAAGAAGTCAGCCTGGCGGCCATGTATCGTACAGTGGTGGCTTATACTAGGAGACACTGTGCTGAAACTCCCACACGTACCTGCTGAAGTGTCCTGGCCTGGATGTGTTGTCTGAGGAGCCTTTGCTGCTGTTGTTGTTGCTGTAATAATTTCAGCTGGAGCAGTTGCTGCTGGGAGGTTATTGCATGTAAGGAAGGGGACTGCATCACTGTGCCTGAGCGTTTCTGTAACATGTTGGACAAAGCTTGTTTCGTGTTTGAAGGAACAAATGTGCCCATTGGATCCAATCTGGTACCACCTAAGGAAGTGTAAAGGCAATGTGGTGAATCCACTGAAAGTGATATTTACAGATCTAAAATATTAGCCCTGTGAATAAAGATCACACCATTGGGTTGTAGTAACACACAGAGTGTTGTGTATTTAAAGAAGAACTCCAGGGAATGCAAAAATTAACCTTTGCAGTAGGGCTACTCTCGCTTTGCCAGTATTAGCTGCTCGTTTTGGACTAGGAGCTAGAATAAAGAAAAGTTACTCCGTGATCCCTGCTTAGCTGCTGGACCGGTCCTCGCAGCCTCTTGTCCCTTGTGCTCTGCCAGTCTTAGGACTTGTGATGTCATCACATCTAATACAGCTGCATTAGCCGTGAGTACACCGAGGGATATTCCACCACCAGAGCAGAAAGGGAGCGAGCTAAGCGGTTACCACCGCAGGATCAATAATCAGGTGAGTATATTTCATTTATTTTAGCCCCTAGTCCGAAACGGTAGCCCCACTGCAAGAGTTAATTTTCATATCTTCCTGAACGTGCATTGTGTTAAGCAGCTCATTCATTTTAAATAGGCTGTCAAACCTCCGCAACAAACTAAAACTAGCATTTTTTAACACGGCACACCACAACACCCAGATTATTCACATTTGTGCATTGTGGTGTGCTAGCATGCAAGAGCATTGCAGTGCATTATGTAGATGCTTGATGTGTCACCATTATTGCAGTAACCCAGTGGTGTGAATAGGTGCACCTTAATTACAGCTCACTGAGGTGCACACAAAAAATGCACAAGTGCTATTTTTGGCAATATAGTACATCACAACACACAGCAGGTGTTTCGTGGTGCCCTGTAGAGTAGGTGAGTTACCATGTACGCTAAGGAACTGATTTATAAACCTCTCTCACAATTCTGTGCGAATGGGATTTCCAACGCTGTATGGCCACTAGCTGGAGTCGAGGAGCACAGGAATTTCCTATTCTCCTCAACTCCATCCAGTGGCCATAAAACACTGGCAGCCTCATTGACCCAGAGAAGATCTGTGCGAACGGTTTATAAATCAGCTCCTATGTGTGTTCTGGAGTGCCATTTTAAATGACAGGCAGTGAAAAGCAACAAACATATACTCCCTGTGCTGTGCTAATGCATGTAAAAAACATGCAGTACTGGGAGGGAAGATGGCCTAAAATACAGTAATACAATACAGAGATGATAGCTAATTAGTTTAAGATCTATTTCTGTGTGCTAACTAACAGGCTAATTTTGTTCTTATGAATGAAAATCCGAACATACTTGGGGAAAAAAAAAAGACTATAGCAATAAACAAACTATCCCATGGGAAATCACATAATTGCTCACATATTGCATAAAACACGTGGCTCACATGGCTTACCCTGGTCAGTATAAAATGTAACCTTTATTTGACACTTGGAAAAAAGGTTCAAGCAAAGAGCTGTGCATTAGATGAAATAAATAGTCTTCTTTCTTCTACTGCAAGCAAGACATACAATAAAAACTGCTCCATGAAAAATGGACATTTCATTTTGCCCTTTCCATTTATTACAGTGACACTAAACTCAGGAGTTAAATCTTAAAAATGCAATCAAGTAAATTAACTATTAAAAAATGTATCTTATTTGTGTATCACTCGGCTGTAGGTCCTCAAATCATCTCTGAATTGGTGCTGACACTGTCCTTCCTTCTGGAGGCTGGATACTTTTGTTCCCTATGGCCCCTGTGTGTGTTGTAAAGTAGCCACTGCTCCAAGATCACTCCTGTGATGGACTACAATCTCAATACAAATGAGTAAACTAAATGTGAGCGAGCTTGGAGCAGTGGCTACTTTACAACACACAGGAACCATTGGAAACAAAAGTAGCCACCCTCCAGAAGGAAGGACAATGTCGGCACCAATGCAGAGATGATTTGAGGATCTACAGCTGAGTGATGCACAAATAGGATACATTGGGGGGAATTTATCAAAACTGGAGCAGACAAAATCTGGAGCATCTGTGCATGGCAACCAATCAGCTTCTCTTTTTAGTTTGTTCAGTTAAGATTTGAAAATGAAAGAGAGAAGCTGATTGGTTGCCATGCACAGATGCTCCAGATTTTGTCTGCTCCAGTTTTTATAAATGCCCCTCATTTTTATAGTTTAAGTACTTGAATGTTTTTTTAAGATTTAAATCCTGAGTTTAGTGTCACTTTAAAGGAGTGTAGTATTTCTCAAACCTCCATGGATTGAGCTGCAGCTTCCTGCACTCCCGTGTGTCACCACCTGCTGGTAAGAACTGTTATTTCAATAGTGCCATAAAATACAAGGATTTTCTAGCAGAAATGCAGCAGTGCAGGAGGGATAGTGAAAAGTGACGACTACTCTGCATACCTACAGGAGGGTTTCTATTTCTATATTTCATATTTTTCATACCTGTTGTGAGCACTTGATTCTGCAGATAGAAATTTGGCTGCTGTTGCCCCACGATGTTGTAACTCCAGGTAGTAGCAGGGTTGTGGTTTATCATTTGAGATGATAAAGGAGAATAATTAGATGGCACACGATATACAGCATTTTGAGGATATTCCTAAAAAAAGAATTATAATTATTTCTAAAAAGACTGTGCCACCAACTTAAAAAACGCAGGTAAAAGCACAGAAAAAAACAAGTATTTTAAAATGTTTAATTGCAATGTTTTTTTTTTCTTACCGTATTTTTTTTTTTTTCACTTGCAATGTGCCCATGAACATATGACTACTCCAAGTAGAGCACAGCCCCCTCCCTCGCTGTATGCGATAGCCCTCTCCTCTTCTGGGAGTGTCTAATTACTTTCTGTGCTGGCCAAGCTCATCTCCCCCTCACTTCCCCTCCTACATAACCTTTTATGTAGCTGACAGGGGAAGAGCCAGGGTAGGCAAATCCCTGCCCTCCAGCTGTGCTGAAACTACAAATCTTGTCATGCAACTGCATCTAGGAATCATGCCTGTGGCTGTCAGAGTCTTGCAGTGCCTGATGGGATATGTGGTTACACCACAGCTGGAGGGCGAGTGTTTACCCACTTCTGCTATATATCTCTTAACTCTGCTGGGGCTGCTGACTTCGCATTCAAAATGGTAGCTCCCATCAGAGTCTCAGGCTAAACAAGAGAGGACTTTAGAGTTAAGTAACATGCATTAAATATGATTTAATATAAATATAATTTGATGGGAATATTCTGTTTAAATAAATGGTCTGATGACATGGTAACTAAGTATAGTTAAAACCACAGTTCCTCAAACCGTATGTAAGTTGCAATTATAGAGCCCACATTTAGTAATGAGATAGTAATCAAAGCAAGTATGGTTTGAGTCTTTCAAGCTTAAGGACACATGTGACCAGAGACAAGGGCTATGGCTCTGTATAAACTACTAAGGAGAAGGGGGTAGGAAGTCATTAGGAAATCACTGAGGAGACTGGAACCTTGCACTTGTATTCCACGGCCCATTCCTGCATGCTGCTTCAGAAACCAAACTATGCTTCTATCCTTCTTGATTCTATTGACTGATGGATTCGTCAATTTTCTGTCCCTCCTTTAAAACCCAAAAAAACACGGACTGCGCGACATGGATTTTAACGGCCACAGCAGCCCTTTTATTAAACAAACAACTTTAACAATAACCAAAGTAATAAACCAAATAATATACAAAAATAATACTTTAAACAATGGTTGACCTGAGAAGGGGTCTTTGGGTGCCCGCCAGCCAAAAAAGGCCTCTCATAACACTCCACCCATGTCCCCAGCCGCACCACAACCAGCTCGAGAACACTTACTCATTCTGGGTTCCCAAGGGGCCAGGCCCCGCCCTTTACAAATTCGGACACCAACAGGGGGAAGCACCCATACCAGCTGAGGGCCCCCATTTTTGTAATGAACTCCGATTTTGTAGACCCCCCAAAGACCCCCTAACCCGCCAAGCTGCCGTGACAAAAGAAACCCCCATAACCACAAAATTCAGGAAGGGAGGGTGGGACAACCTGCTTCCTTCGTCAATTTCCAGAAAGAGGATGTCCCTCAGCCCTCGCAGTTCCTTCCCATGCGGCTCCTCCCAGATACCTGACTCCCACGTCCAATCAGGTAAGAGCAGCTATTCCCATTTATTTTTAACTATTTCTCCCGGGACTATTCCTCCCCCCAGTCATGTAGCCCCTCCGGTTAGTCTCTCCGTGTCTGTCTTTTGTAGAAATAGAACTAATAAAAAGGCTGTGATCTAATCCAGCAGCTACTTCTTAATGCATGTTATTCTTTAAGTTACCTGTATTTTATGGTGTCTGGAGAATTTCTTATTAAAATAAAACTCTATCTGTTTCCTATTTAAACTACTTGATTTGATTATTAGTCTGGGGAAAATATTTGTAGGCTTTTTCATTCCTTACTGATCTTTATTTTCACCTCTAGCCTGAGGAATAAGAGAAGTCTGTGTGGTTATATGGCGGGGAGAGACAGTGGAAGGGGATGTAATTTAATACATGTGTCAGTTTTAGATCTTACAGTATATTTGGTATTTGACTGATTCTCACCAAATGTACATGTATGAACATTACAAAAAATTTACTCAGCTATTTCACAACTGTTTTTCATTTTAATGTTCTGCAACGTCAGCAGTGTTGGCAAAAAGCTTAAAATGAACACATTTATCTGTAGCTGAAACAACATTGACTAATACAAACTCAACCACACAGATGGAAAAAAACTATGGATTAATGTAGATTTCACTGTTCATAGAGCATCTGAACAACAGTGTCTAAAACAGACTGCTCTAATTTAGTTATTACAGGCCTTAATCAAGTAGGAGTGCAAGGAGCTAAGTGCTTATTATTTGCAGTACTGCAGTAACAATTAATGAGAGTACAGCTTGTACTAGTCTAACCTATTTAAAGAGTCAGTCCTCCCAATCCCAGTGGTCAGTTCCCCCATCTTATAATATTTTTATGGCTAGATGTTAGTAACTTGAATCACCTACTGAGTTCTCATGATAATATTTTCCCTTTGGAAGTCCCATTCTGCCACCTCCACAGCACAGGAGTTTTAATAATCCCTATGTGATTCTTATAAAGTGCCATTAATAAAAAAAAAGAATTTATATGGAGCTGGAAATTCAGGTTCTGAGTGACTCTCTCTACCAGAGTACATACGCCATCTAGAAAGCTGGTGGATGATTCAATCTTCCAACATTTGCCCATATCTGAAATTAATTTTTTTTTTATATACTAGGCCTATAAGCTAAGGGTAGCATACACGGCATATCAGACCACGTGTGACTTCACTTCATAAGCAAAAGATAATCTGGTCTGCAACAGATTCAGACATTTAATGTTACAGAGTTAGTCAGGTTGAAAAAAGACACTTGTCCATCGAGTTCAACCTATAGAGATATGGAGGGGGAAAAAAAGGCTAAATTTAAAGATGTAGGCATTTGGCGTGGGTGACTATGCAGCAGACAAAGGAAATGGTCATATGAAAACCAAATCCCAGAAGTGTTGCATGGCGCATAGGCAGGATGGTTATTTGCAAAGAACATTTAAACACAACCCTTTGAGCTGATAACTGCTCTGTATTTTGCCCCTTTAATTGATGGTATGTTACCAGACATGGTTTACAGGCAATGAAAACACAGATCTTCAGCTTTCTGTTGGAACAATTGATATGGCAAAAATCACTGCCTTATTACCCACTCATTCTTGTTGTCATTGCATGAGATTTGGGCTGATTTAATTTAGGAGTCAAGGGAGGAATCTTCACTCAAAAAATAGTTTGAATACTCACTTTAATTATCCAATCATGTGAAAAGTGTCTGCACATGCTTAAGTATTCAAACTGATTGGACATTTGCTTTTACCATGGTTCAATAATTAGAGTAAATATTTACACCATTTATGTAACGATTTTCAACTCCTTAAGTAAATCCTTTAGTTAGCCTCATCTCTATATAAACTGGCTATTGAAAAAAATCTGTACAATGTATGTGAATGGTGGGTAAAAGCAAAATCATTTGAGAACTGTATCATCCAGCCCTTGTGTATAGGTTACCTAAAGAGAAACTAAAGTGTTGGATGAATGGAATTATCAGTGTAGGCTAATGTTTTAAAAATGGTTTCCTGTGTGTCTGTAGTAATTACCGCTCTCTCTTTGTGAGTAACCATGAAGATTAAAATCTTTAAAACGCGTTAAAGTAACTGGTACCCGACTTACATTCAAACCTCACACCCAGCCAAGGACATACCCCTGAGGTGAAATGTTAGCCCACCCTGCCTCTAGGATCCCTCAAATACCTTTGGTGGTCAGGTGGTTGCTACACCAATATCAGGTGTTAAAATTGACAGCCAGAAGGTTAAAGCTTGTTCCAGAAAGTTTTTTCCCAATCACATTGGCTCCATCCTTTTGCTACACTATAGCAACAGAGGGCAGGTTTTCAGTTTGCCATTTGCTATTTACTCCCAGTTGAAGATTGCTATTTTCACAATGAGCACAAAGAAACAAAAAAAGGAGACATTTCTTCATGGGAAAACTTGCAATCAAGGTGCGTGTTTCCTATGATCATAACGTAAATGCATTTACACTAGGGTATTGGGTCTCTGTGTCTATACACCTGGCACAGGCTCCTTGGTTTCCCACTGAAATCAAAGGGAAAACAGCTTTCCCTCGAATGCTTGCCATCCTGATGAACTTCTCTTCAAAGGACATGAAAACAACATTTGATTAAGTAAACAGTGACAAAAATAACTCAAATAACTGTGGTCGGCACTTTACAACTTGCAAGGGCTCTGCAATCAATTAGATACACACAAGGAATTAAACAGTAACATACGTCTGCTCGTGGGTTGGTCTTGGTTTTGCGCTTCCTGCTTTTGGATTTTTTCTCTTCATCAGTTACTGATTTTCCAGGATCAGATAAATCTGTTGTCTTTCCCTCTGGGTCTGCATACACTGAAGTGCAGGGTTCATCTTCTTCTTCTTCATCTTCTTCTGGGGGAAGTGGCAAGGGCTCCAGATAATAGCTAGGAGGCTTGGGCTTTGGATGTGTGTGGTTGAGAAGAAGGTGATGTTGTTCTTCATATTTGATTACTTTTCTGTCCACACGAACAGTGCCAAACCAGGCCCATGAGAGAGGTGCTGGGTTCTTGTGGCCTTCAAATAAGTCCCAAGGAGACACCTTCTGTTTGGTTGAAACCTGAAGGCCCTGTGGAAAGATACAAGCATGAGACATTCTACAAAATGTTTAATATTTAGCTTGCATATATTAAAGCTGATCTCCCAATAAGTAATACAAATTCATCTAGAATAGCAAAGGTACCTGAATTGGCTTTGCAATTAGCCTCTTATGAATCTTTGCACAGCTATACTAGGAATGGGAGGGGTTGCTCTCAAAGCTAATCAGACTTTATTGCTTTAAATAGTATTGCCAGCCTATTACAGGGCGGTGTTGTTTAACTGCAGTATAATCAAAGCAGTCCAGGACCTGGCTGTGCTGTCTGTCAGGGGTGGTGGGATCACAAAAAATTCCAAATCGTCTGGCAGTTAAAACATATCTGTATTACAGCTTTAAAGTGTGCGCAAAACCCTTTTTTAGGTATTGTATATGGAGAGGGATGGACCCTCTGTGACTGCAATGAGGAGCTTCACCCCTCTACTTATACTGGTAACCATTGTCTCCCAGAAAGAAAGTGAGGAGAAATCGAAAATTTTAGATCTACCCCCAGAACAAGAGGTGAGGGGATAATGGGGACACCTATTCTGGGGACAACTGTGTAAGAGGGGAATTCCTTTAGAGAAGATTTTCTTTAAATTCTTATTGCACCTCTGGGACAGGAAGTGAAGTAAAATTGTCCTAATAGTATACAAACAGCAAAATATAACCTGATAATGGTTTTTACCTTTCCGTACTCTATCCAAGTGAGTGATACCTTTTATTGGTTGAGTCTCACATGATAGTTAAAAGGGACAACAAACATACATCAGAGGGGTGCAGTCTAATCTGAAACAGCACCTATGCCTAGACTATGGACGCTAAATCATTGGCATATTCTTAACAAGCAGTAAAATAGTTTTTAAAACAATCCCTCATTGACCCACAATTTTTCACTGACCTCTGTAGTTGCTTGAGCTGTGAAGTAATTGTTTATGAAAGATCACAAGGACGATACAGTCGGGTTTCAGACTTCTTTTAACAGCTTAGAAACACCTGCTGTGTGTTTACATTAGAGAACTGGCAGGCCGGTGCAATAGAAGGTAATAGAGAAAATGCTTGGACTTCAGTGCTCTGTTGAATATTAATTTATCCGCAATGCCTTTTGTGACGACATGGTGATCAGTTTATAAGTTAAATGTGTATTGGTGTTGAGTTATGTTTGAGTGTGTTATACTGAGAGACCTGGTTATGGAAAGACTATCAGCACCATCCCAATTAGATTGCAAAAACGGGGGAAAAAGGAGTAACGCTAAGAAAAGAAAAAATATATATAAATAAATATAATTATGGGCAGAGCTCCAGGGTTTCAGAAAAATGTATTGCCCTTCTGAGGAAGCCCCGTTTGTTGGGGGGAAACGCGTCAAGGGTTCAGCGTCTGACTAGCTTCCCTGAGGACCCAGGACTTACCACTTGTATGTTATCGCAGTGATCGAGCAGGAGAGCCTCTGTTATACCGATAGTATTGAGCGAGGCCCCCTCAAGCAACACAGCGACAGCGTAGATCACCAATTTCTAATCCCTGATCAAGCACATCACTGGATACCTTGCCCGTGGAACATCGTTCACCCCCATTCCAAGGTGCGGCCGCACTTGCAGGGGAATTGTCGGGCCACCTGTCCACAGTAGATGTGAAGTGAAACAGGTCGGGATCAAACTCAATGGAAGTTGGTGCAAGTGGTGGAAACATTTAAGCGATCAGCAGGATTACAAATGTTTTTTGAATAAAAAACCTTTACTAAGAATACCACTGGAATATCTATCATAGAAGTACGGACTCTTTCCCTTGTGGCCACAAGTGAGGAACAAGTGAGTAATCCTATCATCATATGCTGATACATTAGTATCCACCACCTCATAACGGTGTATCCGTTCATATCAATGACTGCTGCTCTGCCCTGCGGGTATTTCAACCCTGTTTATTTCTGTCCCACATTGAGTCACTTCAGGGAAGCTATGCGATTTTTAAATAAGTTTTAAATGTAATGAGGTGATTTATCTTTATGTGTTGCAATGTTTAAATAAATATGTTTGGATGCACTTTATATTATACTTGAATATCTAATTATTGGAGGGCTCCTACTATGGGATTTCTATGCTAGGGGGTTTGCGCTGTTTGAATATCAGCACCATCCCTCGTTATCTCCCATTGTTCTCTGAGGGAGCTCAGAACAATGACATTCTGGCCAAGCTCCTGCTATGGCTGTCTGGAGTTCGTTAGCAGGTGGACACCTGTGGGTGTTGAGCAGACCGATTGTCTGGGAGGGGAGGGTGGATGTGATCAGCGTGTTATATAATACCGGTTGGTCCTCTTGATCAGCTGGTCCAAGAGTGTTTGTGTGCATACTTGAATGAATGGGTTGTTGCAATAACCAGTTTTGAATTGTGTCGGGTGTGTTGGTTTACATGGTGCATCTGGTTTATTCAAAGCAAATTTGTTTAATCAATAAATTACCATTTTTGTATTTCATATTGACTCTCCGACCCTCTTTATTAGCTGCACTTTGCTTTAACCTCTCTTGGTAAAGCACATTTCTTTGATTATCGTTGTATACTTCCTCTGTGCCTGTTTCAACAATGTATGTATTGTACATACATAAATCACTGCCCTTGGTTCACAGAAGTTTCCACAGAAATTAAATTGATTATGCTCTATAATTACATACAACTAGTCGATATTTTTATTTTACCTGTTTCTTATCAATAGAATCAAACCCTGCAATTTTGTTGCCTTTTGTGTCAATCAGAGACCCCATGGGCTCACAGGTAATGACATCACAAGTCTGCTTTGGCAATGGCAGAAGCTGACGGACTTTATCGATACTCTCTGATCGCTTATCACCAAGTTCTTTCTGGGGAAAAAGAGGAGGTAACAAAAAGGATGAAAGACCACAATATTGTAATGATCAATCTAAACATAGATTTTAGAAAGAAAACTCCCAGAAATAGTCAAAGATGAAAACCACTTTCAATATTAAAACCTATTTGAGCTCTTAAAAATAACCATTTACTTTAGTGGTAAGCAATACACAAGCTATTGTACATAGATATTGTTCAAAGTTAGATCATCACAGAGGATGAAACAGATGCCCAGTTTCTAAATTGTCACTTGTAAACAGATCAGAGGTTACGGTTCAACTGCAGATTTCCTATGGGTTGTCTACACCTGGGCTCATAAGTAAGCTACATGAAATATGAGGCTATAGGGCACCATCCTATTTACATAAAGAAGTGCCTCAGCTTATCTTAAGTATGGTATTGTGAAATATTGCACAGAAGCAGCAAGGCTATGTTTTTCATTTACACATACTTAATTCCCCTTTTGAAGTTACAGTAGGATACAGTGCACACAGTCATACCTTTAGTTTTTTCACTAAGTTCATGTAAGCCCTTTTGTTTTCTTCTGAACTTCCTTGAGACACGTTGGAGAGATCAGAGGCGAGGGTCCCATTTATTAAGACACCGAGCATATCAAGAACAGTTGTGAATAATTCACTGCCAAAGAAAAACATGTCAGTTTTCTCTGTGCTCTAGAAACATACATTGTGTGCATTGTTTGATGTTAGCACTGCCTTAAAGGAAACCTGTAATCAGAGAATGTGGGGGCTGCGATCGCTGGCCTCTTTCTGAACATTCTAGTTGCCAGGTGTTCTCTGATTTCGGTACTTTGAGTCACTTATCCCGAACTTGTAACAACTGAAGACTCAAGAACTACATACTTCATCTGGCTCATACTTCAGTGGTTCAAAAAGTATTAAAGTACAACTGAAGGCAAAACTTTTTTTAACTTTTGGATATAGAGAGGGATTAGAACGCCTGTCAAGTTTGTATTGCTGTCTATGTCCCCATTGGGGAGATTCACCCTCTCTATTTATCCTGGTGACTGTTATCACTTTAGGTGAAAGTGCAAGATAATCCCACATTCTGAGTTGTCATTATAGCAGGAATAGATGGGAAATCTTCATGTGGGGTCAATAGTTCTAGTGACTAAACATGTGCATTCTGAATCGGACGAACCTGAACATCAACAAAGTTCAGTTGATTAGTTTTCAGTTTCCAGAACGTGTGGCGGCCATATTGGTTCTGCGCATCCCCTCCGCCATCTTGGAGGTGGGACGTATGACGTCACATGACGGTGACGTCACACACGCTGAACGTGCGGTGACCATATCTAGGACATGCGGGCGCATCCATCTTGGTGTATACCAAGATACACTCTAAGATGGCGGTGCGCAGGAGCAGAACATGCCGGCGGCCGATGTGACCACCGCTCGTTTTGCAGTTTCAGTGTGCGGTTTTGGATTCGGAGGCTCGTTGCTACAGATCCAAAACAACATAAAAATGTGTTTCCTTTGACGAAACGAATGAAAATGTTTATCGTTTTCATTTGTTTCGTGCGAAAACAATTTTTTTTTGCCGTGCACATGTCTACTGGCAACCATGCTAACCACCAGGGTTTTTCTTTACTTTGGAAGGATTTCCTTTTACTTCCTGTCGTAGCTCTCAGACCTGAAGGGAAGGGAAATCTCCCCGATGGTACACATGGCAAAAAAAACTTGACAGGAGTTATAACCCTCCCTTAAACGGAATCCAAAACGTAAAAACTAATTTGGCTTTTGTTCTACTCTAAATTCCCTGGATCAATATGACATTAAAGAAGAACTATGAGGTGAGTGAAAATCACTCATCCTCATAGTTCGAGCCGACGTGTGACAATGAAACTGTCACATGTCGGCTCAATAGATCGGGAAGTGAGTGAACACATACCATCGCTCGCTCACTTATCGATCATCTCCCTGCAGAGAGCGATGACTGTCACTCATGGCTCACTGCAGGGGTTCCCCCCCTCCCCGCTCCGAACCTCCAGCGCCGACTGGAGAAATGGACGTTAAGGAGGGAGGGAGGAGGAAGGGAGGAGACAGGGAGGAGCCTCCCTGTCCCTCACTTGCTCGTGACTGGTGAGGCATGGAGATCGATGTCCTCAGTGGTTTTTTTCATCTTTTTTTTATTGGACAGCTTGGACTCATGGTGCTTTGACATTGGACCAAACTATCCACAGAGATCAAGCCTCTAAAACCAAGTAGAGGCTGTTGCAGCTCTGGCTTCACTATGTTAGGTTACACAAGAAGTGAGGAAGCCCATTGCTGTGTAACCTAACTACCTGTCAAAAGGCAGATGCAGCGCTGCCTGTAATTAACAGGCAGAGCTCCGTCCATGACAGGTTACACAGCGGGGAGGCTCTCCCTGCTCTGTAACCTGTTATAAGCCGCTCTAAATGGAGAAGAAGCTTCAGGGCTAAATGTAGCGTGAGGTATTCTAAAAAATAAAAAAGCAAACAATCAGATAAATAAAAATGTAAAAATGTAAAATATAAATAAGTGATAAAAAATGTAAATAAAAATAAAGAAACAATAAAAAAAATTTAAACTAACACTGCCGCCACTGCCATCCGCTTGCCATTCTCCACTGATGTGTGTGTGTGTGGGGGGGCCCATTGCAGAACCTGGCCTTGGGGCAGCAGGGAGAGTAAATCCGATGAACCAGAAATATGGATGTCTGATATGTTGTGCACAACTTAACATGTTCTATGTATGTCAATCTTGGCTCCACCCACTTTTAACTCCCAAGCCTCCCTTTTGGTCATTTGGGCTAAAGGACCAATGAGGAAGCTTGTACAGGACAGAGCAGTGCCTAACTTGACTTTTACAGGAAAAATAGAGATATGTCTATAATCTCAGCTGCCTATATCTTTGGATTTACTGACCACTGGATTTTCACCAAAGTTAACCTGTCTGTGTATTTTACACTAAAGGTTTAGTTTGAATTGCCCAGGTTTGTGAAAGATTTACTTTAAACTGGCCATAGATTGACAGATTGCAAGTTTTGGACATTTGTTATGGTTTAACCCTCACGAGGTTGGCCACCCTGACTTCTCTTGTATAGGTCAAACTAGTGTGTGGTCAGTGCTACAACTCTAAATGGGAGGAGCCTATTTTCACATTTGTGTTTCCTTAACAAGCGGCAGTGATGATGTGCAAACTTCCGCAATCTATAGCACCATTACAATTGATAAAACTGTCTGTTGACAGATAAGAAAGAACTTAAAACTTAAAGTGTATTGAAAATCCTTTTTTGGATAGAGAGGAAAGAATTAGAATTCCTGTCTGATTTGTATTGATGTCTGTGTCCCTGCTAGGCAAAGTAAGCCTCCCTATTTGTCTTAGAGCAGCCTCAAGGGGGATATAGGAAGTCCGCTCCTATAGGGTTCCCTCTGGTCAGAAGGGGAGCCCAGGGCCCTTTAGGTTAGAATGTACATGGTTCTGAACAAAAGCCACAGTAAGAAGTGACAGCCTCTACATGTCTAGTGCTGCACATACATAAGTAGATGTAGAGCTAAAACCTTTGTTCTTTTTTTTTGTTTTGGATAGCGTAGCGAAGGGCTAAAAACCGGTCACTTTGTTTTTGCTGTCTGTGTCCCTGCTGGGAATAATTCTCTTCACTTCGTGTCTAGAAGGCACAATAGGAAATCTCTAAAATATGAGGGGAATTCCAGTTTTAGACAAGTGTCACAAGAACAGGTGTTCCCCTTGGAAGATTTACCCTAACCTCCTGTTCTGGTGACAACAGTAACAATTTGGATTTCCCCTCACTTTGTGTCTTTGTGACAATGGTCACCAGGATACATAGAGGACAAATTGCCCTGCATGGACACAGACAACAATACATTCCTACAGAGGTTCTAATCCTTCCACACTCAAAAACTTTTGGCCACACAGTAGGCAATTTAGGAAAAGATGAAACTTCTTTAACCAGAATTTGATAGCAGACATTATCGTACAGACCAGTATAACTTGCTTTCATTTGCATTATAGTTATAAATATTAATGTGATATTATTATATTAATCATTTTTTGGGTGGTAATTAAAAGATGGTTGACATTGCTAGATAATTGCATGTGTTGCAGTGTTGGGGTCAGAGGAATGGGAAGTTCATAGCTAGCGTTTAGATGAAGGGGAGCTGCTACCCAAACGTGGCTTCCTGCACCATGCTACATAAGATATTGCTTCGATGCATTCCACCCTTCCATTGTGCCAAGGTCAGAGCATGCAGAAACTCCTCTCCCCACAAACCTAATGCCTGTTATGCAGCAACAAGCGGACTGGGGGCTAGTGAAGCATCTTTTTTAATCCAGCTTGTTTCATTTGTGAAATTGTGCATATTTGTGCCTCGTCTTTCCGAAGCACGTGATCAAGGCCATCGTTTAGAGGGTATGGGCAATACCTGACAGAGGGTCCTGCCAAGTAGGCTATAGGGGGCCCCCTGATTTCTAATGGTGGCCCTGGTCCTAGTGACCATTATTGCCAAGACTAAAAGTTAAAATCCCAAATTCTATTTTTCACCAGAACAGGGATAGAGGGGAAATCCTCTAATAGAGACACTTGTTCTGACAAAGACTAATGGGAAATTTCCCCAATCAGACACAGTTTAAAAACAAATGGGATGGGGTATAATTTATTACCTTATCTATTGAAAATTAAGTTTTGGATTTACACATACTGTACTTTAATGCTGATTGCTTGATATATATGTTTCGGACCTCTGCATATTCTTTTTCTCACTGTATAGGCTCAAATCCTTAAAAGAACACACTTAAACAGCCTAGTTCAAAACTGTGACTGAACTAGATACAATCTAACTACATATCCATATAAGTGATACATGGGATTATAATAAAAGCTTTTATATTGCTCTGTGTCTCTGATACCATTTACATTTTGCTTTGCAGAAACAAGAACTGCAGATGGTAATCTCTGTACAACAAATTTAATGCACACTGTGAAGATAATGTCTGCTGTCAATCTATGTGATTTTGTAACATTTTTCCAAAGGTCTTTCAGAAACTTTCATGCTACAGCCTGGAACTCCCTCTGCTGGCAACACAGTAAAAGAACCTAAATTTCTTAAGGTAGCAACTCAGTTAAATCTTAAAAATGCATTCAAGTACCTTAACTAATAACAGAAATTTTGTTTTTTTTGTGTGTAACTCGGCTGTAGATCCTCAAATCATCTTTGAATTTGTGCTGACACTGTCCTTCTGGAGGGTGGCTACTTTTGTTCCCCATGGTCCCTGTGTGTGTTGTAAAGTAGCAACTGCCCCAAGCTCACTCCTGTGATGGACTACAATCTCGTGTTTAATTTACTACTTTGTATTGAGATTGTAGTCCATCACGGGAGTGAGCTTGCAGTGATGGCTACTTTACAACACACACAGAAACCATGGGGAACAAAAGTAGCCACCCTCCAGAAGGAAGGACAGTGTCAGCACCAATTTAGAGATGATTTGAGGATCTACAGCTGAGTGATAAAAGGATAAGATACATTTTTGTTAATAATTAGGGTACTTAAATGCATTTTTAAGGTTTTACTTTGAAACTTAGAGTCACTTTAAGATGACACTAGAGCTACTAGGTGTATAATGATCATGGGTAAAACTCACTTGTTTGTTTGCATGTCAACTGTTCCTGATGTAATTATCTGTAGAAGTAAAACAGCCCAGTCTGCGGTCCACTGTGTGCTTCTCTGTACTGTGTCAAACATTCCTCCAACCTTTGTCAGAAAAAAACCGAGAAGCACAATATGAACATACTGTATGGAGTATGGCATCCTAAATCAACTAATATCAACCCAGTAAGTTGCAATATTAGGACAGCTAGTCTTGATTACATCTCTTCACACAGAATAGAATAAATATATTGTGTAATAGGAGCTAAATGGTGTAATAGTTATAGTTTTTATACTATAATAATTAATATTACCAAATTCAGGCGTAATTGAAGAGCCTCATGCATCATCTGGCGAGCTTTCACATCATCCTGGTATTTCTCCTCTCTCCAGTTACTCAGAATCTGCAGGGGGTACATGGCATATTGACATGTTATTAAAATACAACTGAACTAGAACAATCCCTGTAGCGCAACTATTCTTCATTGGACACAGTAAATCTCCTATTGCATAGCAGAGAGATGCATGCAGTCTGGGGCTCTGTGCCTGAACACTGTGCACAATTAATCTAAAACTCAGCAAAGCCACATTAAATCTAATGTTACATTGTAGCATTCTTCCTAATTATGTCAGACTTGTTTCTCTTTCTCTTTTTCTAGTGAATTGCTGTATGTCCCAGCACTCCTTTTATGAGTAGACATTGGTTCCTGATGTTCCTAAACTTGCAACTCAGCAACATTGCTTTGATCTGCCACATATAATGAGCATGGAAGTAGGCAGTCTAGATGAGAGACAGTATGAGGGCCACACACACATTCCAATGCAGGCCTCAAATGGTTGCAGCTTTCTTTCCATGCAAAAAGTATCTTGAGTTCACCTGTGCATTGCGCTGTGCTGCAATAAAATAAAACAAGGCCTATTTTTTCATGCATTGCAGCCCATTCATTTTAAATGATCTGCCTAACTCTGCCTGTGACAACGACTGTCAACACAGCTCCCTGTGGTGTGAATATACCCTAGCAAGTGCTAAGATAGCATAACAGCTGCATAGGGAATGCATTGTTTTAAATGATTTGTGAAACTCATAGACTTCCAATGTGAAAAGGTAAAAGTAAAGCGCAATATGGTCACCCCCAATTTACATACAGTATATACACTATATTGCCAAAAATATTGGGTCACATGTCCAAATCATTAGATTCAGGTGTTCCAATCACCTCCATGGCCACAGGTGTATAAAATCAAGCACTTTGGCATGCAGACTGCTTCTACAAACATTTGTGAAAGAATGGATCGCTCTCAGGAGCTCAGTGAATTCAAGCGTGGTACCGTGAAATGTTGTCAACTGTGCAACAAGTCCATGTGTGAAATTTCCTTGCTACTAAATATTCCACGGTCACCTGTTAGTGGTATTATAACAAAGTGGAAGCAACTGGGAACAATAGCAATTCAGCCACGGAGTGGTATGCCACGTAAAATGGCAGAGCGGGGTTCAGCTCATGCTGAAGCGCACAGTGCGCAGAAGTCGCCAACTGTCTGCAGAGTCAATAGCTACAGACCTCCAAACTTTGTGTGGCCTTCAGAGTGGCACAACAACAGTGCGTAGAGAGCTTTATAGAATGGGTTTTCATGACCAAGCAGCTGCTTTCAAGCCTTGCATCACCAAGTACAATGCAAAGCCTCGGATGCAGTGGTGTAAAGGGGTTGGGCTTGGCCCCTTAAGTCCAGTGAAGGGAACTCTTAAGGCATCAGCATACCAAGACATTTTGGACAATATCATGCTCCCAACTTTGCGGGAACAGTTTGGGGATGGCCGCTTCCTGTTCCAACATGACTTCGCACCAGTGCACAAAGCAAGGTCCATAAAGACATGGATGAGCGAGTTTGGGGTGGAGGAACTTGACTCGCCTGCACAGAGTCCTGACCTCAACCCGACAGAACACCTTTGGAATTAATTATAGCGGAGACTCTGAGCCAGGCCTTCTCGTCCAACACCAGTACCTGACCTCACAAATGCGCTTCTGGAAGAATGGTCCAACATTCCCATAGACACACTCCTAAACCTTGTGGACACCTTCCCAGAAGAGTTGAAGCTGTTGTAGCTGCAAAGGGTGGGCCAACTCAATATTTTACCCTACGGACTGAGACTGGGATGCCATTAAAGTTCATGTGCGTGTAAAGGCAGGCGTCTTTTGGCAATATAGCTTATGTATATATATTAGCAGCCAATAAAACTATTTGTGCAGGAACAGTGTAAAGGGGTAAAGTAAAATAGTATCCAGTTTACACATTACTCTAAAGTAGACACAGTTCAGCAGAGAACATTAGTGGTGGGATTATTGTGCTTGAAATCATTGCTAGGACTAAGATTAACCAGCAAATCCATACTAAATTTCAAGATCACAAACTGATTGAAACTTTACACTTTCCAAAAACTATAATTGTCAGTTGTATTTTTATGTGCTTGTTCACTGTACCTGATTCAGTTGGTTTTGCAGTGATGTGAGGAGGCCTTCTCGCTGGTCATCTTGTCCTTTTAAGCAGGTGAGGACCAGTGATAGGAATGGGTACTGACTCAGCAGGGACATGCTTCATCAGATCATAAAAAACATTAAAACATATTTTTAACATGACAAACGTCCAATATTGTAAAACCACAACAGTATATTACATATGCTTGTCAAAAAGTGGATCACCCACATGAAAGTTCCCATGAGGTATCAAATGCTACAGTGACTTGGCCTTGTTACATCAATTATTGTTCTCCATATAATGTGAAAGCCTATCTGGTGACTATAACAGATTTTGTGGATTTCTATCATGGCCAAACCTTCAATTCTTTCTTAAAATGAACCTGTGCTTTTCTCACAGTATGTAGTGTAACAGGTTTGCTTTACAGGAGGCACAGTAAGCATTCTGTACTCACCTTTCTAACTCCCTCACCACCATGATCTTCTGATAGAAACTTCTATATAAGTTTCAGCAGAAATAAAACTGTATACATAAAATGCACACTCTCTGCTCCTATCTCAGTGCTTAGGCTTTGTGTTGGGTCCTCAAGCATTAAATGCTATATTGTATAAGCTAGGGGGATGGGTATTATGTGTTCCTCTATAACTGGAATTTCTGGGTATTCCTTGCGGCTTTGGTGGCAGAAAGGAGCCATGTGGGAGCATAAAGAAATAAAGCACAGCACTCTTAATGGCCCTGCTATAAAATAAATCTGTTGTATTGCCTACTGTGGGAAATATACAGGTTCACTTTAAAAGGTCAGAAACTCTCAGGGATTCCATTCATCAGAATCTGCAGTTGACATTTCAGATTTATGCATCTGCTGTGTCAGCTGCAAAGGGGTCCCATTCTTTTGGATTTAGTTATTTACATTATATTATGGTAAAGACTACAGCGGAAGAGGTGACACTCCTAAGTGGATAGGATCAGTTAGAGTGACACTAAACTCAGACATTAACTTTGCATTCAAGTACCTTAATTGTTAATGTATCACTCAGCTGTAGATCCTCAAATCATCCCTGAATTGGTGCTGACACTGTCCTTCCATCTAGAGGGTGGCTACTTTTGTTCCCCATGGTCCCTGTGTGTATTGTAAAGTAGCCACTACTCCAAGCTCGCTTCTGTAATGAACTACAATCTGAATACAAATTAGTAAAATAAACATGAGATTGTAGTCCATCATGAGAGTGAGCTTGGAGCGGTGGCTACTTTACAACCTACACAGGGACCATGGGGAACAAAAGTAGCCACCCCCAGAAGGACCCCACAGTGTTAGCACCAATTCAGAGATGATTTGAGGATCTACAGCTGAGTGATACACAAATAAAATACAGTTTTGTTAATAGTTAAGGTACTGGAATGCATTTTTTAAATGTAACGCCTGAGTTTAGTGTCGCTTTAAGAATTATGACATCTTGCTGCTCAAGTCCTCAAGTATCACATCACATTTGACCAGCTTGACCCTTTAATAGGTAATAACCTAAAGATTATCTAAGGCAGGCATATTAAGGAAAAACATACCATACCAATTTGTTGCTAATTCTAAAGCCAGTAGGCATGCTAATCTGAAAATTATCTGATCAATTAAACAAGACAACCATAGTAAAAGAATGTTCTTTGTGCTGGCCTTGTCTTATAATCACAGGTAGGTAGCAAAGGTGTGCTGTGATTGAAATCACCACCACCATACACAGCTAGGACATGCTAAGGAACAGTGACTACTCTTTCTTTTTTTTCTTCTACATGTGTATGACTGCTAATATTAATAAACATAAAAATGTATCTACAGCCATTTTTATAATTTTACATATAGTAGAGCATGGTTATAACTAGGGATGCACCGATACTTTTCGAGTACCAGTGCCGATACTTGGCATTTTCATGAGAACGACCAGAGTTGCAGCGGTTGCAGCTGGGACCTGGCTCTGGTGCTCCATCACTGTCCTGAAATCATTAGTCTGTATTGTTTTAGAAAAACTGTCACATGACACTAAACAAAAATGTATCAGTACTCGTACTTGCAAAACTGGTATCGGTGCATCCCTTTATTTATATTTATAAAAACAAAATCATACATTAAAACAGAGATGGACAAATCCCAGGAGCTCCGGGTGCTCCTTACAAATGACAGCTGCCTTCTAACTTTTACATTTTTCTCTAGTCTAGTCTTGGAGCTCGAAAAGTATCTGCACTTGGTATCGGTGCATCCCTAATTATAACCCCTGTTTTTTATTGATGTCTGTGTCTGCTGTCGATTAGTACTGGGCATCATTGCCACCTGGACTAAGAGTGATGGGAAATCCAAAACTGGTTGTCATCAAAACAGGAGGTGACAATTGTCTAAGGGGGATCTCCAGAACAGGAAGGGAAATCTCCCTAGCAGGACACAACACGAGTAAAAACACCCTCTCGGGGATTTTAAACAGTCTGTACTCAATCCAAAGCTGAAAAAAGTAAAACTATATATATACTTAAAGGAGTTGATAAATTTTTAGTCCAGTGCGAGGAGCATAGGAAGATTGATACATTAGGCCTAAAGTGTGGGTTTTAAAAAAAAATAGGATCATTTCAAAAATAGTGGCAAATGTTCTACTAAGGTGTAAACACATCTAACCTTTTCTGCTTTTGCCTGTCCCGTTCTTTCTTGGAGGATGGACCCAGGTGTTGTCCTTTCTCCAGTTCCTCTCCAGCTGCTTTTAACACTCTTCCTTGAACAGAGGTGGGCAGTTTTGCAATAAGAGGTGCCACAAGCCAGACACCTCTACGTTCTGATGAGCTAAATCCAACATACAAAAGTCATGTTTTTATGCATGTAGGCAGTTAAGCATAGTTAATATAGACTGATCATTAAAGTTGGCTACATGTCAATAAAACCTAATAACATTATTATTGTACAGTAACTGAAAAAACCCACCAGCTACTTCTTGTCTTTAATAAAATTAAATTTAAAAAAACCTTCTGCTCCACATGTCCAGCATAGGCCACATGGTTTCTAGCTGTCAATAATCAATATAGAGGGTCCATTGCTTTCCTTAATTTTTTCTCCTGTTGTTCATACGTTTGTGAATTTCTGCCCGAAATTCTCTTTATAGTGTACGTATAGTCCATTTTGTTTTTGTTTTTTTAAGTGGATAGAGTAGGAAGATTTGGAACCCGGTCAGTTTACTTTTTGCTGGCTGTGTCCCATAGGTAAGATTTTCCTTTACTTCCTGTCCATACAACAGGAAGTTATAGGTAATCTCTTCAAAATGAAAGGGAATCTCCCTCTACAAAATGAAAGGAATATATACTGCTAAATATCTGTTTCTATTGAAAAAATCTTATTTTGGTGACAACTCTAACATTTCTTATTTTCTTTTTTAGCACATTCTGTCCCAATGACAATAGTCAGCAGGGACAAACACAACAATTAAAACTTTACAGGGGTTCTAACCCTTCCCCACTTTATCCAACATAAAAAAAAGTTTTGACAACACATGTACACAGGATAAATTACAATAATTACCTCCAGACATTTGTACTGCGTCAGCATCTGAAACTTGATATAACAGTAGCTGCAATTAGACTGAATTACCTGAGGATAGCAGACGTCACATTATGCCGTGTGCTGTTGCTATCAGCATGTACTGCATAGTTAGCACTGAAGAGACCATTACCAGGACTATTAAAACTGCTGTTTAGCTCAGCAGACTGCTGGAACACTTCTATTGTTGCTTTTGCAATATTATCCAAAAGTGTATTCATCTCATTCACTGAATTAGATGCCTGTAACAACACAATAGATGAATAATTTAATAATACTGCGTCCCTAATATTCTAGCTAGTAAAACGTCATGATTCCTATTACATACAATGTTATGTGGAGTCTAGAGATAAAGTACTAACAGGTTCCTTCATGCATTGCTTGATCATCAGCTGGATCTCCAACCATGACTGCCTGAGTGTCCACTGTTCGAGATTCTAGGTAGATGGAGATAGAAATAGGCTGTTAGTATCTCAGTATCCTTGGTTCTGATGTGTAGAAATTATTAAATATATTTTAAATCCATAGAAACCTGCTCTGGCATCATGTAATGGCTATGATATGCATACCAAGTGTCAGGCCTTCCTACCTGTAGGATTTGCTTGATGTGAAGTTGCTGAATGTTGTCTCCTTCTAGTGACTCTCTTGTCTCATGAGGATAACATATTAGTTGTAGTAGTTTGCTTGCTTGCTTATGAGAGAGAACAGGATCTAAAATAAGATCTTTATCTGCGCACAGCCTCTCTGGTTCTTTCAAGCAGTGATCTCCAACCCACTCCTAAACTCCAATAGAGAAAAAAATCAGTGCCATAAACATGCAAGTCATAAATGCTTACAGTTAAGTTCTAAATCCATCAGAAAATCTCTGTACCTGCTGGCAAATTGTCCTTAGAACATGTTTTGCATATTCACTTAAACTTGCTGTCTCGGTGGTGAATGGTTTTCCAGAAGGCGGTAAGGACATCTCTGTATCTACAGTCCCCTCGTTTGTTTCCACTTCATTGTGCTTAGAAGTGTTAATATTATTACTGCCAATCGCAGCATCTCCTAGAAAGAAAGCGTTAAGACCAGCAATGAACATCATCTCCACTAGATGGCGGTGTAGACATGAACAAAGATGACAACATACAAAAACTACATTCTGGGTGTTATAGAGCCAATGAACTCTGTCGCTGCAAACACATTTTCAAAGTCAAAAGATAAGATTCTTCTTTTTTGGCAGTGGAGAATATATGCAAAATAAGTATACAAGTCTTTGCCGCAAAAGATTTGATTATTGCCAAAAATACCCTTATGTATTCTATAAAAGGCTAAACAACTGAAATATTGACTCTCTGAGCTCAGAAGTACTAGATATTTGTTATCAAACAGCATCTATACTCTGTACTAGATCAGCAACATACTGTATGCTGGCATTAGAAAGCAAATAGTTATCCATCCAGCAAATAATGTCAGTGTTTAAATATTTATATATATACTGTACAGGACGCCGGGGCTGGGTTTTGGAAGGATGCTATATTTCCCCTCTGTTTGGACTGTGGTCCCTTTAAGGGATGAGACGGGGTTAACTCACCTGCTGAAGGAAGTGTGTGTTTAAAAGACAGGAAGTGGTAGCTAGCAGGTGAGGAGTAGTGTGGAGGAGGTTGGAGAGTGGGGATTTGTGTACTGCTGTGAGCTTGAATATCAGTATCCTTGGTGGAAATCTGTAGACTGGGAAAGTTAAGGTGCCCACACACCTTGCGATGATCCCACGATAATCGCGGGAAATCCCGCGATTGTACGATAATCTCAAGGTGCGTGGAAGGCGTGCGACCGTTTCTACTGCACGGTCGCACAACTTTTATCTTATGAACATGTTTGAAAACCTGCCCTGAATCGTACGATTGTCGGCGGGTGTGTGGCATGCTCGTAAGATAAATGCGGAACGGGCCGGTGTGCGCAAGCACACACTGCCCATTCAGCATTGCGATCATCGGAAGCTCGCCCCTGAGCGGGGCAGGCTTGCGGTTATCGCAAGTACGATCTGCCTGTCCAAGATGGGCAGATTGTACGTTTTTTTAATTACCTTACAACCATCGCAAAACAAAAGTTTGTGATGGTTGTAAGATGTGTGGCCAGCTTTACCCTGGAAGTCTGGGACTGTTTAACTGCGATTGCAGCTCTGAAATCTTCATGTCAGTGAGACTGGTCTTTTGTGTTGTACTGAAGAGTCGCTGTCTGAGTTTGCCAGTTGGTCAGTGAAGAGATGAACTGCTGTGTTATGTTGCTGCTGTGAAGCTATTTAAGTTAATAAACTTTAATTTATTTTAGGGCTGGGGAAATTAACGATTAATTCCTCGATTAATCGTTAAATGTTTTGATCGATTAAAATTCTTTTGATCGAAAATGAAAAGACTCACCTCTCCTCCCCCCTTCCCCAAGTGGCTCCGTCGGCTAACGAAGGGAAGGGGGGAGGAGTCCGGTGACGTTGATGTCCGTGACGTCACTGGACTCCTCCCCCCATCCCTTCGTTAGCCG